GTGACAGAGCTCTGCCTTCTTCTCTTCCTCTCTCTTGTGACACAGCCCTGAGCTGCCATGTAAGAACAGCTACCATGAAGCTTCCATGTTGTAAAGACCAGGGGTGATCACATAAAGATAGGAAGAGATGTCACAGGAACCCCAGCTGTGCCTGCCCACAGCTATTTAAGTCTCCAGACCAGGTGCCATACATATGAAAGATCAAGCTTTCAGATGATTCTAGCTGCACCAGCTACCATCTGGCTTCAACCTCATTAAAATCCAAGAACCACTTAGCTAACTGTAGTCAAGCCTCAGAACTGTGAGAGATAATAAAATGGTGGTTGTTTTAAGCCAAGGTTTCAGGGTGATTTGTTACATAGCAATAGATAACCAGCACTGCTTTTGGGACTTGGAAAGGGAATATTACTAAAGCATAGGTCAGTGACTTTGGAACTGAGCTACTGGCATACGTTAGGACGGCCTTAAAGATATTAGTAGCACAAGTATGATGGCTCTTGAGGTTGTCAGTAGGGCTTAAAAGAAAGTGAGGGAAAAGTTATTAAAGCTGGAGGATATGCCCTTGTTAGTAAAAACTGTTCCCTGTGATAATATAGAAATAGAAAATATACCTAGTGGATCAGCCTGAAGATTTTTCAGGCTAATGGGTAAAAGATGCATCTGGTTTATCATAGCCATCCTCCTCTATAATAAAAGCTTAATATGCAAATTGTCCCCTTGACTGGGAGTTGAACCAGAAGATTGACCACTTGCTATGATGTGCACTGACACCAGGAGGCGGCCCAGAACATGGCGGGCATCAGTGATGTGCTTCCAGCCCAAGGGGCCCCGAGGAGAGTGGGACTGCGGCAGGATGGTGGAGCAGGTGAGCGGGTGGTGCCAGGCCAAGGCAGATGCAAACGGGCCCAATCACCCTGCCGATCACCCCACTGATCGCCCTGCAGACAGCGATCAGCAGTGGCTCTGACACTTTCAATACAGAGAAAGGGCAAATAGCAATATTAAAATATTTCTTCTAATTATTCTCCTTTCAATGTGCATGAATTCATGCACTGAGCTACTAGTATATCATAACAATTTATTTAGAAGAAGTTAATCAGTTTTAAAACACAATTTAGAGAAAATATAGAGGAGTCAGGACTTGCTGGGTTAGCAAATAAAATCTTTTTTTGGTGATCAGTCTCTCCCAGCAAAATATTCCCAAAGTAAAAAAAGGCCTCAAGACAAAAGTAAAATTCAGATCTCTATCACAAAACCTTCTTAGGGTAAACACAAAACTAAGAATATAATTGCAAAAGTATTAAGACCCCACAAAGATTTAGGGTGGTTCTTTCTGAATCCTTGCAAACAGACAAAAGCTTAAGGATCCTTTCCATTCAACATCAGGAATTCTAAGACTAATAAAGGCATTGATCCACAGCAGCTTTACAGGGAGCCCCAGGTAGACAAGACATGATGTGAGTTTGTCTAATGAAATAAAGAGATCAATAAAATAGGAAAACAAAGCTTTTAAGAAAATTATACATGTAAAAATACTATAAGGAAAGAGGTAGCTTCAAAATGGAAGCTTCTAGACCCTTGAAACTTCCAGAGGCAGGAAGTAGGCTCATCAAACTATTGAACTTAAAATATGGACTATACTAGTGACCCAGTGAGTGAAATCATGCAGTTCCACCCACCAGCATGTGCCCTACCCATCTGCCTGCTGCCCCACCTTGACACCCTAACCTTTCCACACAGAACTTCAGTGTGCCTGGTCCCACTCCCCAACCCTCTTGCCTTCTCTGGCTACTTCAAGGCTCACCCTCAGTCCCATGAGTTTCCTGGAGCTGGTCCTGCCTCCTCTGGGACACCTCCTGCTTCTACCTCATCTCTGGAGCAACACGGCAGCTCCAGCCTGTCATGATGCAAGAGGATAGCGTGGAGGTCAGTTTCTCCCAGTGATACCAACAACAATCAAGGCTTAACTACAATAAGATTGTGCACACCGCCTACAAAGGGGGGCACCATTAGTGTCCACCTCAGGTGACTGGGAGGCCAACCCACTGGGCCATATAGGAAACATAGCACTCAAAGCTACCCTACCAACTCAGGGAAGCCACAAAAATGTGGAGACAAAATATCAGATCACAAACAAAAGAAATGGAGGGGAAAAACTGACTGGATATAGAATTCAAAACGACAGTTATAAGGGTTTTTTTTTGAGAATTTCCTAGAGAAGGCCAATAAATTTAGCCAGACCCTCGAGGATATGAAAAAGGACCAACTAGAAATTAAGCATACACTGACTGAAATAAAAAAATATCACAGAGACCCAACAGCAGACTAGATGAACACAAGAATCAAGTCTAAGATTTGGAATACAAAGAAGCAAAAAATACTCAACTGGAAAAGCAAGAAGAAAAAAGAATCCAAAAATATGAAAATATAGTGTAAGGCACCTCCGGGACAACTTCAAGTGAACCAATATCTGAATTATGGGGTCCCAGAGAGAGAGAGAGCGCGAGAGAGACCGAGACACTGAAAGCCTATTTGAAGAAATAGTGACGGAAAACTTCCCCCACCTGGGGAAAGAAATAGACTTACAAGTCCAGGAAGCGCACAGAACCCCAAACAAGAGGAATCCAAAGAGGACCACACCAAGACACATCATAATTAAAATGCCAAGGGTAAAAGACAAAGAGAGTATATTAAAAGCAGCAAGAGAAAAACAGTTAATGACCTAGAAGAGAGCACCCATATGATTGTCAGCTGATTTCTCAACAGAAACTATGCAGGCAAGACAGGAGTGGCAAGAAATAGTCAAAGTGATGAATAGCAAGAACCTACAACCAAGATTACTCTACCTAGCAAAGTTATCATTCAGATTGGAAGGTCAGATAAAGAGCTTCACAGATAAGAAAAAGCTAAAGGAGTTCATCATCACCAAACCAGTATTACTATATGAAATGCTGAAAGGTATTCTTCAAGAAGAGGACGAAAAAAGTAAAGATAAAAATTATGAACAACAAATATGTATCTATCAACAAGTGAACCTAAAAATCAAGTGAATTGAAAATCTGAGGAACAGAATAAACTGGTGAATATAATATAATCAGGAGCATAGAAAGGGAGTGGACTGATAATTCTCAGGGGGAAAGAAGGATGGGGGGTGCAGGAAGAGGCTGGACAAAAATCATACACCTATGGATGAGGACAGTGGGGGGCAGGTAAGGGCAGAAGGTGGGATGGGAACTGGGTGAAGGGGAGCAGCTATGGTGGGGTTGGGGAGGAGAAACTATTGTAATAATCTGAACAATATAGATTTATTAAATTAAAAAAATATTTTTTTAAAAAAAAGATTGTTTCAGAAATCACAGATAATAGAAGTTAAGTACCCAGAAAAGTCCTTTCAACAGGGAAATGGCCCTGTTGCCAGTTTAAAGGAATGATCAGGATATGGCTCAGAAAAAAGATAAAAAGCAGAAATGTATTATTTTCTTTTAAAACTCTCCTTTGGTGGTTTTAACTCTTCATCTCACATGCCTAATTGTGATGTCTACCAACATTGTGAAAAACAATAGTCAATCTGAGGGTTTTCTTATAGACTGAAATCCAGCCTGAAATTAGGGATTCCCTCCTTGCTTGCTAGCCATTGCAGCAGCAATGGTATTACATTACTTGGATAGCCAGGAGTCATTTTGCATGACACCTGTCAGTTCTACAGAAACTGTAAAATGGACCCAAACAAGTAAAGTAGATCCTTTAAAATAGGGAGATTATCCTGGATTATCCAGTGGGCCCACTATAATCACAGTGGAATAGGGAGCAGAAAAGTCAGAGTCAGAGCAGAAGACATTTGGAAGTGAAGTTATAATGATACCATGTGAGGACCCCAACCAGGCATTGCTGGCTTTGACTAGGAAGGAAGGGGCCATGGGGCAAAGGACTCAGGCCATCTATAGGAGCTGAAAAAGGCAAAGAAACACATTCTCTCCTAGAAACTTCAGAAAATACTTCTGACACTTTGATTTTTAACCCAATAAGACCATTTTGGACTTTGGATGTCCAGAAGTATAATTAATTTGTGTTGTTTTAAGCAGTTCTGTTTGTGATAGTTTGTTAGAGCAGCAATAGAAAACCAATATAGCATTTAACTATAAAATAAATCTCTAAAATTGATGAAACCAAACTTCATCTCTCTTTCCAAGAAAGGTGCCATTACCAGTGAAATGACAAAGCAAAAGGAAGCAGAGGAAAGCAACAGTACAGGGCCTGGTGGTGAACCGGCTGACTGCTCATTACAGTGGTCTCTGTTCATGTTCTATCTTAATATTTATCCTGTACCCTGCCTTAAACCATGAGGTTTTTCACCCCAATTCCTGGGTCCTCGTGTTGCCTTCTCCTCTTTTTATTTCCTTTTTGCTTGCTGTAATCCCCTCCTTCATTTTTCTCTTTTTCCATTTCCCCAGTTGTCTTCTCTCCACTTCTCTTCTTTTACTCCAACAGGATCTAGCAATGGCCCAGCCAGTAAGAAGAAAATGGACATTCCTACTAATTCTCCCCTTTCCTCTCCACACCTCTGTCCCTGGGGAAGAATCTTGAATGAACACTAGCAAAGAACAAAAGGAATAGAGAGGAAAAGAGATGCTTGGAGACTGTATGAACAGAAAACAGGCGATGATTGCTACCTCATCTCCTGGACTTAATTTGTCACTCTTTTCCTTTGGAAAGTTGTTGTACTGTACTTACTATACACCAGGGTTGAGTGTAATTATTCAGGTGCTCTTGGTAGTAGGGTAGAAGCTCCTTCACTTCTCTAAATAGTCAACTAACTGCACACTGAGAGCCCTCCGCAGAGTTTAGGGTGCAGATATCTATTTGGAGTGTACCTAGCCCCATCATCGTCTATGATCTGCACAGAATTCAGTATACACTTTAAGCTAGTCATATGTTCATTGAGCTTGCTCCGTGTATTTGGCATTGCACCAGTATAGTTAGTGGTGGTGGCAGCAAGCAGGTGGCAGGATCAGTGCAGCTTTCTGGTGGAGAGCCATCTCTCCGGGATATGATGTGCAGTTGCTGTTCCCTTGCTACAGCATATAAGCAATTTATGCAGGTGCTGTCCTAAGGACACGAGCTTATCTAATTTGGTCAAGACAACAGAATCAAAATTCCTCCCCTTCAGGTCAGTCAGTAACTCTGTGTGCCTCCCAGAGTGCAGCTAGTTCTTCCTTCAGAGTCAGGGAGGTGCTTCTGGGGCATGAGGAAGGATGCTCCGTTCTGTGGCCTTTGATGTGATCTCCCAGGAATGCCAGATTATGTCTTGGCATCATTTCAACCACCTCTTGTTATTTTACAAGTTATATCACATTACTTAATGTATTGGACAGGACCAAATCTTTAAAGAGCACGTGACAACTTTAACACCCACCATGATCTAGGTATACTCCCTAGCAGGGCTACATCTTCATTCATTAGAGATGGAAGAGGAGATGTAAAATATATAATTCTGATAATCCCTTTTATTGCTACCGCCCTCTAACTGGTCTCCTTGCCTTCTTTCATTCCCTCCTTTAATTTTGCCCGTGGACTTTTGTCAGAGGGAGCTTTTTAAAACAACAATAACAGTGGCCCCTCCCTCTCCTGCCTCATTTGAGTTAGATGCTGTCATAATACCACACACTTTCCAGTCATCACACCAAACTGTAATTGCATCTTCACTTACCTTCATCTCCCACTAAAATGATTCCTGGTGCATGGCCTCATACAGTACATGCGTTGAGTGAGTAAAAGCCACTTGGCTAACTAAGAACTTACAGCGATTCCCTATTGTTTACCAGATCAGGCCCAGTCTCTTCGTTTCAGTTTCAACTACAGTCGACTCCTGAACTGTGTGGGTTTGAATGGCGAAGGTCAATTGAAAAATCCACGTATAAGTAGACCTGCACTATTCAAACCCACTTTGTTCAAGGGTCAGCTGTACTCTGATTTCTCCTGTATGCAAGTCTTTAGATCTCTTTTTGGTTCTCTTATGAGTCTTGCGTCTTCATTCTGTGAGTTGTTTCCTCTGTTCACCTGTGGTAGCTTGTCACCAGTTTCTTTTCTGTATACACGTGCTGCTCCCCCACTGAGAGTTGGAGTCTGTTCCTCTGTGCCCTTGAATTTGGCTGGCCTGTCACTAATTTCACCAATAGAAAGTGATACTGTGCCAATTCTGGGCCTTTTCTTTAAGAGGACAGGCATTTCCACTTCCTGTTTTTCGAAGCCCTGAACTTCCGTTAACACATCCAGGCAACTCTTGGAGAGAGAAGCCACGTGGAGGAGGCTGGTGTCCTGGGTATGAAGCCATCCTAAATAACCAGCCTAATTCGCAGGGGTGGGAGAACTATGTGCATTCAACTCGGGAGTTCTGTGACAATTGCTAACCAAATCCACTACATCTGTATAGAGAAAACCAGAGCTGCTATGAGACACAGCCTGTAAGGTTGAATGACAGTAAGTCAAAAGAGGTGTTTTCTTTATTCTTGAACTGAGGGTAGCAATCATAATTCCGATACTTGACAAAGAGCAATTCAGAGGAAGGAGGAGATTGGGAGGAAGAGAAGCACCCACCAAGTGGCCTGGGAGGGAGCTCCCAGAGAGCAAAAGAATGCAAAGGAAAGGAGCTGTTTTGTGTCTGATGACAGATGCGTTTCCTGCAGTGTCCTGAGAGCAGCCCAGCAGGGAAAGGCGGAGGGGCAGAGCCTGACCGCTGTGCAGAAGGAGGGAAAGCTGCTGGTTAGCTGCTAGCTTGTGGTCTGTCCTTAAAGGAAACCACACTGCAGTTCAGCTGGAAAACTAGAAAGACGGCGCTTCGTACTTATTTCTGTGTCTTGTGTCATATTAGTGAAACAGGATTATTTGAAGCTAAAAAGTTATACTAGGATTTCTGAGTTTAGTTCTCTTCTGTTGTTTTTTTGACTTGCTGTGCAGTCATTCTGGTTAGATATATTTAAAGACACATATATTGTTTTGTTTAGAAAATGAGAGTAGACACCTGACTGCTAATCTTTATTAGGGAGTGAAATTTTCACCGCCTTGTAAACATTGTTTCACAGAGAGGTGAGATGCTGCTTGTACTTATACAACACCCAGGCTCCTTTATTTTGCTGCCTAAAATGTTAAGTTGGAAGGTTGTGTACTTCATTTGCTGCTAGGTTATAGGAAGCTTTGAAACCATTCTAGAAGGCAGCCAGGAATTGTCCTCGCACCTGTCCAGGTGGGCAAGCGCAATCCCGGTGTCTCTGCCTCCTCGTCTCTATGCTCTGTGATTCACTATGGCTAACACGACGTCTGCCCTCTCTGCTTGCCTAGCTCCTCCTCATCCTTCATGACCCAGTGCCATGGTCAACAAGTGGGACATTTCCCTGTTCCCTACAGGCTCTTAACTCTGTCCCTCCACCACAATCCCTTTTACCTCTGCTATTGTACTCACTTCGCACGAATGTTACACATTTAGGGAGGTACACACGCAGGGTGTGTGTTCAATATGCACGTGTGGCTTGTGGCCCGAACAAGTCTCCATTCCTAACCTCCAAACCCATTTTTGTTGTTCAGGGAGGGAACCGTTACCTTCTGCTCCACTTTGTCTTGTAATAGCACTAAACGGGCCACCTTTGTTCCTGCTCCAGCAACATTTGATAAGACTAGTCAATGGTGACAGGCAGGCCTCATCCCCGACTGAGCCAATTCCACCCAGCGGGATTGCGCTTGCCCTCCTTGATAGGTGCCAGGACAATTACTGGCTGCCTTCTGGACCTTCTTCAAAGCTTCCTGTAACCTAGCAGTGAGTGAAATGCACAACCTTCCAACTCAGTGACATTTAAGGCCACCACTCATCAGTTCAGGCAGCAAAATAAATTGGTACTCAGCTGCTCCCAGTCCATTTTTCTGGTTAGAGCTATAAATAAAAGAAATGATTGTGCCACTGCCTGTAACACCAATCTGCTCCCTCCCCGGGCAGTCACATTCTCTCGCACTCTCTCTGGCTTTGTTCTGGTCCCCTGAGGAACAGTGTGTTAAAGATTATATTTGAAGGTTATCAAGTGCTATGTGTCTACATTTGAATTCTACACACTATAAATATTATAAACAAATGGGTGTACATTTGAATTACATATCCACCCCTACTAAATTTGTAATTCATTCATACGAAAGTATTTTCTAGTAAATATTAAAACTCCCCCAATACAGTCTCTTTTATTCATGAGACTAAATTACATCACTCAACGGTGACATTTAAGTGACAGTTACTACAGTAACCCAGAGTAATGCCCTTGTGAAGTGTAGTGTGTTGGCGTGCTTATCCGGTAATTTATATATCTCATAAATACCAGCTGTAATGTCTGTAAAGGAAGAAAGATTTTCCTTAGTGATTATGAAATATAACATTTTTAGAAGCAGATTCTGATACTTATTTGCTCCAAATTCTTTCTAAGTCATAAGTATTGTATCCCCTCACCCCCATACGCAAATATTAAAAATAAAAACAAGAAAACCTCTTTGTCTTCCTCCCACAGCACTGATATCTTGGTTTGTACTAATATAAAAGAAAAGAATCGGTCGAATCAAATGATCTTCACTCTCTTTCAAACCAAATCTGCTTTAACCAGTATGTTAGGTACACACGCAGGGTGTGTGTTCAATATGCACAAGCCACACGTGCATATTGAACACACACCCTGCGTGTGTACCTCCCTAAATGTGTAACATTCTGACTTTTTAAGCAATACATTATTCCTGCAGTTTCAACAAAAGCTAACTTTTTGCCAGTCCCAAATGAGCTCTACATGGAAGCTGTTGCCAAATTGACTTCCCTGTCTCAGTCAAGAGGCTGTTCCCCACTCTGCTCAAAATTAATTAAAGCCAATCAGAAATATACAAAGCCTTCATGGCCAATCATTCTTCTCCAGGAGTTTGCCCTCTCCTCTGCAGTCAGATAAATCACCTTAAAGCTATTACACCAATGATCATAAATTAGGGGGCCCATGGTCTGGTCTCTCCCTTCTGAGGTTATTCCAGCTTGCACTGTCCTCCCCATAGGGGGTTACTGTGGTGGGGGAGGGAGCAGGTTCCCCAGGATTGGAGAGAGGAGATGGGACCACCAGGGCCCTGGTTATTAGTCATCACACACACAGACTCCCCTGAGAATTGGTCTCTGGGCTGCCCCCAGGTGTTTGACATGGCATTGCTCAAAGATGGCTTTGATCCCCAGATGCAGGGACTCCATCTGTGTGGCTTTGTGAGACTATTTACAGTCGAGTTTAGGCTGGTGATTGCTGGCATGGAAAACTCATTTCTCAACCTAGCTTTTATTTACACTCTAATTAAGGTGCCTTTCACTCATGTCATGGGAATGGCAGAGAGTGGCTGTGGGGAGCTTTGGGAGGCTGGTGAGCCACAGCAGCGGCACAGGCTCTCCACTTCCCCCAACTGCACCCCCTACCCCCCCTCCCCTCAGAGAGAGAGAGAGAGAGAGAGAGAGTAGAGAGAGCGCATAAGGTGTGGTGGGGACAAAGGCGGCAGGGAAGCCAGGTGCTGTGGAGGCCAAGAACACGTTTGGACCATGCTGAAAAAGTTCAGTGGCTTTGGGGCTGGCTTTCGCTTGCAGTGTTAGCTGCCCTCACCCCCATCCCGGGCATGATCACACTTTTTGTAAACATCCAACACAAGAAAAGGAAGAGAGTGGTGTGCTTTAATTTCCCCCCATCCCCTTTGCCCCCAAACTCTAGGTACAAAGATTCCACTCTCCCTCAGACACCTCTCCATGGGCAGAGCCTCCCCAGCCCTGTATAGCAAACTCCCATTCATCAGGGACAGACTCAGCAATAGGACTCTTTGTTCCCCGTTGTTCTTCCTCTTGGTATCGCCCCAAACTAGAACAGTCCTGTGCAGCCTTGGCGCATTTTGGCTCATAATCATGCATATTCATGCCCAACTGCACTAAAACCCAGGTCAGCTCCTTGGAGCCAGTGAACTGTGTTCCTGAAGGCTGACCAAGCCCCATAATTCAATAAGATGAAGACTGGGTAATGTCCTCCAAATCCTGGGCAAAGAGTCTTATAATGCTTGAGGCAAATAAATAGTTTTCTCCCTAAAATGGACAGAGGGAACTGATAGGAGCCTTGCTTTTAAGGGGAGGCAAGTAGTTTCTGCAGTTCTTTCCTCTGCTCTAGAAATCTTGATTTTTTTAATGTCCTATCTACTCCCTTTCCTAGTATCATTAACCTCTCAGAGTAGTGGAAAATATCTTCAAATTACTTTCCTCTACCTATGGCTCTTCCTCTGTGTTTAACCTGTTTTCTTTCCCTTTATCATCCTCCCATCTGAAGATATCCTTCTTCCTCCTTCTCTCCCTTTTTCTCCAGAAAAGAGTAGAGGCTTCTGCCCTCTTGATCCTCATTCCTATCACTTCCCACAGAAATGCCCCCTTTCCCTCATGGCCACTCAGGGGCACAGTCTCTCTCCTGGGCTAGAGGACATCAAAGTAATAATTCTGGACCCACTGTGTTTCTTCCAGCCCCACAGGATTACAGTCCAGCAAGAGGTAGTATTATGGCTAAATTGTACCCCCAACTTCATTTTTAAGTGTGTGACAGATATTGCATGAGACATATTTATATTTTTAAAAATTCTTTATGTGTAATTCAGGTTTAATTAGATGTCCTATAGTTTTTATTTGCCACATCTGCCAACACTAGGTCAGGAGTATGTGTCCTTAATATTGTCACACAGTTTCCTCACTGCAGAATCACCTGGAGAACATTTTGAAAATACTGGGGAATTCTGAGGCAGGGTCTGTTGACAGCATTTTATTTTTAAAGTATTTAGGTGATTTTAATGTGCAGCCAGGGATAGAACCCTTGCAGAAAGAGACTAATTAAATACTCATGGCTACTACCTTGTTGGATTTAGGTTCCCTAATTCTTTGGGTTTTGTTCTGTAAAAGAAAAAAGTCACCATAACACTCTTCTTATTGCTGAACCTAGAATAAAGATCAAGTAGGTCACTGAAAAAAGTCCTGTTAGTATAGGAAATGATTTTCTTATTTCAGGTCAACTGACTCTATGAAGAGAGCTATAATATTGATACCACTAAAGCAAATGACTCTCCATCCCAATACTTTGGGTTTTGTAATAATGCAGATGGGCACCCTTCACCTTTTACCATTACTTTTATTACAGGTCAGTGCTCAAGAATGTAAGATCTATTTTAAGAACACTTAGAGTTGCCCTAACTGGTTTGGCTCACTGGCTAGAGCGTTGGTCTGCGGACTCAAAGGTCCCAGGTTCAATTTTGGTCAAGAGCATGTACCTTGGTTGAAGGCACATCCCCAGTGGAGGGTGTACAGGAGGCAGCTGATTGATGTTTCTCTCTCATTGATGTTTCTGGCTCTCTATCTTTCTCCCTTCCTCTCTGTGAGAAAAATCAATAAAATATATTTTTAAAAATGCCATCCAAATAGTGTGTATACGATGGAGGTTTTGTACTACAGAAGTCCCTCTTTATACACTGTTATGCTTTCCACAGTTTCAGTTACTTCTGGTCATTTATGGTACAAGAATATTAAATGGAACATTTCAAAAGTAAATAATTCATATTTTAAATTGAGCTCTATACTGAGTAAGTGTGATGAAATCTCATGCCATCCAGCCAACCTGGGATGTAAATCATTCCTTTATCCATGCCCTAGCTGGTTTGGCTCAGTGGATAGAGCATTGGCCTGCAGACTGAAGGGTCCCAGGTTCGATTTTGGCCCAGAGCACATACCTGGGTTGCAGGCTTGATCCCCAGTAGGAGGCATGCAGGATGCAGCCGATCAATGATTCTCTCTCATCATTAATGTTTCTATCTCTCTCTCTTTCTCCCTTCCTTAACTGCCTACTTAAGATGGAAAAGGCACTAAAGCTTTGGGTGGAAGACATGAACATATATGTATTCTGATTGATGGCAATGTGTTGCTCCAGAAAGTATTGAGCCTGTACAGACTTCAGCAAGGGGTCCCTTAAAACAAGTGATACCAAGTGATTTACTGCAAGTAAAAGATGGTCCTATAGATTCAGGAATATATTTGGATTGAAAAATATAGAGATTACTTAGGAGAGATCACATTCACACAACTTTTATTGAAGTATGTTCTTATGTTCTATTTTATTAATCTCTTACTGTGCTTAATTTATAAATTAAACTTTATCATTTGTATGTTTAGGAAAAAACAGTGTTACAGGATGTCCCCAAAAGATATCTATGCACTTCAACAACTGATAGCTCAATTTTGAAAATGAAATGTATTTTAGTAAACACTGCCTTTATAATTATTCAAAGTGTGTGTATATATTTTGGGGGATACCCTATATATAGGGTTCAGTACTATATGTGGTTTAAGGCATCCACCAGGAGACTACTGTACTGTCTATTATTTAATCAGAAGTTTCAGAAAACTGTTATAATGGGAGGCAGGTGCATATAAAATATGAGATTTGGATTTGAAGTCTTGGCTTTGGTGCTACTTGGATCTGTTTTCTTGGGCAACTATTTAATCTACCTGAATTTTCATCTCCATATTTG